TTATATATATATATATATATATATATATATATATATATATAAAATCTGTTGCTTGTTGTTGCTAATGCATTATTTTCATCATCAGTATGCTTACCTCCTACTGCTTATGTATGTTCTAAATTTCATTGAGCTCTCGAGATGTTTATCATGTGCTTCCTGGAGTTCTTTTTTATGAACCACATGGTTTTTCACTGTGTTTCTTTCATGTTATTGCACTAGATGAGACATCAGTAGTTTCAATAAACGTAGGATTTTAAATGCATTTTCTTCTTGGACCTCCCCATTTGGTATGCCATGATTCTCTTTCCTACTTCTAACAAAACCTTTGATGGGTTGTGACAACAAAACCTTTGATGGGTTGTGACAACAAATCTTTGATGGTTGTGACTTGGTGCATTTGATGTTCAGGATATAGCTAATTTTTTTTGCTTTTCAATTTTCAGGAAGCCTTCTGCCGTTTACCTGTGCCATATAACGATGTGGAATTTGATATTGACATTATACGTAAAGACGTATTGGAGAATAAAATGGAACCAACTCCTTATGTGCATATCAAACGAAGTATCCTTTGGTTTTGAAGGTAGTAAACCTCTTTGTATGCTAGCTGTTTTTGTAGGAATTTCATTCTTGGAGAAACATGAGTGGCAAAAAGTCAGGTCCACGACTGCAAGACTACCCTTAACAGAAAAAACGATTTATATCTCATAAAAAAAAAGCGTGATACTGTCGACTCTGATAGTGGATGCACCAACTGCAATTCCAATGATTTATGCGTTGAAGATTGTGTCTGCAGGTATGGTTTTTTCTGCTGCTTTGAAGTGATCTTCATCCTTTGGATCTAATGTTTTGCTATTGAGTACTTCAATCATCTATAGCTAATCCATGGAGTGTACCACTATTATTGGTTGTATTTAAATGATTGGTTATGGTTGTGTAGCAATCTGTTGTTGTATAGGGTATCTTTCCTTGATTGTCTTGGTGGGCAAATTTTCTTTATAAGCTTGTGAAAGTGCAGAATGTGATGCATTCTTGAAATTTATGTATTTATTGCTTTGGTGTGATGGGCAACAAGACTTGACTGTGGTGTCAATATTTCTGATCCACATTAAATATTATTATGAGAAAAATTAGAAACAGTAAGATACAATGGGTATTTCTTAAGATGATGAGTAATGAAATGAAACATATTTTATTTGGAGTCGGTTTGTATTGCTTCATTGAAAGAACCATATTTTTTATGATATACAAATGACAATGATTGTTGTGTGTGTATATATATATATATATGGGAAAGGATCCTGTCATCCCACAGACTGACAGCTACAATGTCAGCCAACATCCTAGATTCAATCTGGGCCGATCTGACGATTACAACCTCATTTCGTATTTGAAGTTTCATTTTTTTTTTTACAAATCCAAATCGCTTGAAATTTTAGGGTTCATTCTTCTCATCAAGGCACACCTGATAAAAATATAAAAACAATAATTAGCAAAATAAAAATTGACCAAAATACCCCCAAAAAGTTTTGGGGGTATTTTGATTTATTTATATTTTACAATTTTTTTTTATATATTTTGATTAGATTCTCCTATTTTGAAAAATAGATGCTCAAAATTTCAAGTGATGTGGATTTGTAGAAAAAAAATGAAAATTCAAATATGAATTGAGGTTGTGACCCTTGGATCCAGATTGAATCTGGGCCGTTGGCTAACACTGTAGCTGTCAGCCCAGGGGTTGACGGGATCCTTTCCCTTTGTGTGTGTGTGTGTATATATATATATGATTGTTGAAATTTGAATCATGGTCCCTTAACTCAATATTTGGACTCACTCAACAAGCCCAACCACAATTGAAAATTATGCAAGTCAATTTTCTTAATTATAACCTTGTTGACTTGGGAAGTTCTTAGTCAGGATTTTGGATCAATTTAGAACTCATGCATGTTAATTTTAGTAATTTATAACTCCATCAACATGGGAAGTTCTTAATCATACCATAATTTGGAATATGGGAGAAATTCTAAATTTGTTTGAAGCAACCGTTAATGATAAAAGAATACCTTGGACGGTTCCTTTCATCAAGCTGATGTTTGTGTTGACTAAGCCACTGCCTTGATTTCTTATTTATTTGTAAGTTACAATATAAATAATTATTTATTTTTTAGCTCACAAAAGGTTTTTAGAGTTGTATTCTAGCAGTGGACCAGGTGACAATTGAACTGAATCATGGGTTATCCATGAACTACTTAATTGTTTGGCTTCCTTTCTGAATGCTGTGAGATGCTTAATATGGATGAATGACTATAGGGTTCAATCCATAAGTTGTTCCAAGGCTTGCTCGTGTTCGGAGTTATGCACGAATAGACCATTTCGCAAGGAGAAAAAACTCAAGATTGTCAAGGTAAGATCCTGCTAAATGGAGCCTCTTCTATTAAAATTTTCCTTTCATTCTAAATTGGAAGCTACTTCATTACTCGTATTCTATTGTAGATCTATTTTAATGCTTTGTAGTGTCATATGGTGCTATCATATGTGTGGTTTCAAAAAATCCTAAAATATACATACACCGAACTTCATAAATGATTTTCCATTGGTCTGTTTGCAGACCCAATATTGTGGATGGGGAGTAGAGGCAGCTGAACCCATTAAAGAAGGGACATTTGTGATAGAATACATTGGGGAAGGTAGTAATGGCCCACTTCTTCAGTCCTACTTAATTGTTTACGTGGATGTTCCTTATAGAGTTTGACTGTGGTTTATGATGTAGTCCTTTTGAATATAAGTAGATCCAGTAAGACATCAGAATGCTGTTCGAACAGGTTAGATTAGTTTGATTCTTCAAAAACCTTATGTCCTCCATAATATCAGCCTTCCACCTTAGTTTGGCGCTGATACGATCAGAGATAACTGGACTTGTTTTGTTCTCTCTGTAAAAGCATTGCTTTCTGCAGATGAGTAATTGCATTTTCTACCTATGTCTTACACATAGCAAGAAGGAAATCAAACAAATCAGGTGTACCAAAAGGGTGGTTATGGTGCATGAGCTTATAAAGATTTTACAATGACATTCCTTTGCCTTTGCATTGCCGGTAATCTTTTTCATCGTGTTCTCGGGCCATTCTCATCTGGAGGTAGTTTTCTAGACTTATTATTTCATAAATGCCTCTAATTGCTTTAATCTGGGCTTTTCAGTTATTGATGATTCCTTGTGTGAACAAAGGCTCTGGGACATGAAACGCAGAGGTGATGTGAACTTCTACATGTGTGAAATCAAGAAGGATTTTACGATAGATGCAACTTTCAAGGGAAATGCTTCACGTTTCTTGAACCACAGCTGCAATCCTAATTGTAAACTAGAAAAATGGTTGTTATTCTTCTCAATTCTTCCACAAGTTTTTTTTTTTTATTGAAGCACTCAATTAACATAAATTTTCAGTCATTTATGCTCAGTTCGAGAATGCACAAATACTCTTACTAAAATGTACACTATCTTGTATCCTGAATAGAGAGATTCATGTTTGTCCTGTTTTTGTCATGAACTTTTCTATTTCTAGGCAAGCAGATGGAGAGACACGTGTCGGCGTGTTTGCATTCAAAAATGTAGAAGTTGGTGAACCATTGACATATGATTATCGGTATGTGGAAATCCTGTCATTATTTGGTTAAAGGCTTTTATAATCACCAGCATCTATAATGTTGAAATATCTCTTATTGTTAATTGAACAGCAATCTGTTTCTCAGGCGCTTTATGTTCGGATATGACCTGAATACAGCCTCTGTTGACAGTGCCAAGAACACAAATTTTAAAAATCATTTTAACTGTTGTCCTAATCTTGAAATTTAAGTCTCATTCATCTTTATATGGGTTTATTCACTTGATGGCTATAGATCGATGTGAGCCAACTTGTATTAAGAAACCTACAGTGTAACAAGGCGAGGATCCTTGTTTTTGTTGAAAAATAACTTGTCGAAGTATTCAAATAGAAACTACTTAATCCACTCTGACATGTATTTCCTTCTTGCAATTTTCTTTCTTTGCAAAATGAAGCAGCTTTTGCATGCTTATGCCTATTTCTTTTGTGGAAGTTATCGAAAGAGATCAGCTCCCATAGAGTAAGTGTAGTAGAGATGAGGATGTTGAGATGGATGAGTGGTAAGACAAGAAGTGATCGAATTCCAAATGAATCTATTTGAGTGAATTTAAGTGTGACACTAATAGGCGATAAAATCAGAGAGAGTAGACTTAGGTGGGCTGGCCATGTGTGGTGCCAATCAAGTACAGCACCGGTTAGTAGGTACGAGTTAGTTCAAATGGAAGGACTGAAATGGGTAAAGGGTAGGCCCAAAAGGACGTGGTTGAAAATAGTTCGAAAAGATATGAGGGCTGTTGGTCTCACTATGGATATATCTTTTAATATTACAGAATGGAGAACCAAGATTCATGTAGCCGACCCCAATTAATTAAAAAAAGGCTAAAATAATGATGATTGAAGGAGATCAGCTGCAATTCTAACTGAAAGCAATATGAATATATAGCTATTAATCAACTAGTTTTAAGCAAAGTATTAAACTAGGACTCAATGAGTTGCTGAGCTGAGTTGATTTGAATCTGTGTTATAAAACAACTGGCTTGAAGGAGTCCCAGGTTCATTGTAGTGAAAGTCCGGGTTAACATTTGTTGTACTGTGGAAAGTTATCGCGACATCTGCAGAGTTAAGAATCCAGCACAAAATCATGTTTGACTTTCATCCTCTTCGGCTCCAAAGCCAGGCATTTCATATGTTTTTGGTATGGAAAAGTGTGAAGTATATAGCCTGTGTATTCTATATATTATACAGCTGGAACCTCCACTGTCTGTTTCCAATGACAGATGGTGGTGGAGATCAACCGTACTCAGGGGAATGCCCACCATTGTGTATTACAATTAATTTTCAGTCCATTGAGAATGGGCAGTGTAAACTACCCTTTCTGGGTTTCACTTCCTGAGGTTCGGATGTATAGTGCCTTAAGCCTTTTCTGAATTTAAAAAACCTAGCATTTCGATAACCTATGATCTTATTGGTGCATTACTATTTTTGCACTGATTTGGCACGGCGTGAAATTTTCCTTGTGGATGGTTATAGCAATCTAACTGTTATTTTCGTGCCTTAAGCCTTTCCTTAAGCCTTTTCTGAATTTCAATAACCTATGATCTTATTTGAGCATAACTATTTTTGCACTGATTTGGTACAGCGTAGGAATTTTCCTTGTGGATGGTTATAGCAATCTAACTGTTATTTTCATATGTTCAATTCAATGTTGAACTGGCAGTTCTCTCACTAGTAGCCAAATTGCAATTGCTTTTGCTTCATGCTATTCAACCTAGCTTTCCTGCAGTTTTGTACATTTTGGTCCGAAAGTCAAGTGCTGTTGTGGTGCTGCAAACTGTCAAGGTTATCTGGGAAGCTCAAAGAAAAGTGATAAGGAAATCGTCCAATGTCAATGGAAAAGCAAGAGGAAACGATCCCGCGACTAATAATTACCTGGCAATATTACTTTGATTTGTTATTCTTTTCAAGGCTTGGCATTCACCATTGCATATTTGAAAGTGATATGTCATGGTTTAAGAACCAGGCTTTGTGTGTGTACCCTTGAATTTCGGAAGACGTCAATGACTATCAATTAAGAAGCTCATTGTCTTCACTCTGTTGTATTCATTAAGACATGAATGTAAGAAAATGTTTATTACAGATGGAAAGTGAAACATGAACTAGGCTTAGTTCATTACTTCCTTGCCCTAATTTTTTGTGTTGGAGGAAAAGGTACCCATGCTCATGAACGTATAAGTGCATGCTTAGAGAATTATCATAGTCCTTATTCAAGTCTTCAATGTACAGGCAACAAGCATCAGGTGGTCTCGTGTAACATACCCCTGTGTAAACTATGCAGAAGCTAAAGCTGAGGCTGCCTACATGTTATTGTTATATTGCATAGGGTCTTTCATGTTTTCTATGAGCCCATTGTAGGGTAAATTCACCCTTAGAACTAGAGCTCCAAGTTGGCTGTGTGGATGTTTTTTATATGAAAAGCAAAAACCTTATAATATTTGTAATAAAATTTCAAATAATACAAGCTGGGGCTGGTCAGGTCTGGACTTAATCCTGTGGATAATGGACCTTGTGTGGGCTAACGGATCCAAATAGTTCCAATACGATCTGCAAATTCTTTCCCAAAGAAAACATATCAAAACTATTGAGTATTCAAGAGTTCATAGACAACTCAGCTCCCAACACTGCCTTATGCAATATAAACAAAAGATAAGGAGATATAATCGTTTGCTCACGAATCCTTGTGTATTAAACTCTAAATGGTACAATTGTCATAGTGCATTAAAACCACCATAAATCCATATCTTTACAAGCACTAGAACACTAGATCCCATTATAGGTTTGAAGATGACGTCTTGCGATGCCAGTGTACTTAACTTACAGAAGAAAAAGAAAGAATATTACATAACTTATCTTTTACCTATCAGCACTTAGCATGTCCGAGAGTTTAAAAAAAATGAAGACCCCTTTCATTTGCTGCTTCTATTCCTTTAAGCTCTCCTGTGTTGCCGGATGAAGTCAGTAGTGAGGACAGATACAACCTTTGAACATCCATAAACCCCCATAAGAAACATAGATGTAGAAAATAAGAGAAGCGCCTTCCATTGTCTCCCAGAAGCTAAAATGGCCAAACTTGCAGAAGCCAGTGCCAAAATCACAAAAGCCTTCTTCCAAGATTGGAAAGCTCCCAAGACACCCCTGCAACCCTTGCAATGGATCACGTGTCGAAAGTATCGATTTGTCGGGTTATAAACATGTAATGAACCCAAACCCCCCTTTGTAGGAGAAGAGGCAGCTATACCTGCAACCAGGCCTGCCGGTGCATGCTCCACAAGAGCTGGTCTCTCTGGTAGTGCCAAAGTTTGGTGCCCAAAGTAATAAGGCATGCCATGACCCACTTTATCCATCCATTTCCGATATTCAGCCACCCAAGTATCGGAGGACTTCAAATTAATGTATAGTTTTTTGGTGGGAAGCTTATCCTTGTTTAGAACTTCATTTTGTGAAGAGAGGAACCCCATGTCTTGCTCAAAAACCTTGCAAGCATTTTGATGAAAGTACCATTGCGGAAGAATTTTCATTAGTGGGGACCTTATGGTGGCTCCAAACCTCACTATAAGCATTGATTTCCCTTGCCCTGCCGGTCGGCAAAGGAATAGAGCTGAAAATATCTGCTTATTTCCCTTCTTGTCGGCAAATTCTCTATTGTTTTGGAGAACACAAGGGGCTTCAAACCTTAAGAAATTAGATGTCAGGTCCTTCTCTTTGCCCCATTCTCCTGCAAAACCTCGAGGTGTTCTCTCCATCACTTTAAACCAAAGGGCCTGAGCATCTTCCCTCTTTGCGGTCCAATCGGTTCGGTCATGTGATATGGGGACATGGGCAGGGTCCATGAGATTTTCGAGAAGGATTGAGTGATCGTACGGGAGCTCATGGATAGCAGAAACCTCTTGAAGATCGGGATTGTCATAGTGCTCGAACCATGGGAGTTTTTTGGGGTTTGCGATCTCTTTGTCTGACATCCACACCCACACGACACCTTGGGAGTCCCTCACCTCATAACATTTGACACAGGCCGCACGGGGGATTTTTGCACCAGCCGGAAGCTGTGGTTACAAATGAGAAGATTGGTTAGACATCTTGCCTGGAGGAGGATCAAAAGGTTTGATACTGGTGACCCAACACACACATACGCAAACCCTCTTCTCTCTCAAACCCTCTTCTCTCTCTTCAACAAGCCAAAATAACCTTGTCATAAGAGGTTCATGTGTAATACTATAAGTGAACACATCAGTAAGAAATAGGCACATCTGACTAAACCAAATAGATATTGGAAGGCAAAAGAAACCTGTGGTATTTTCACGCATTCACCCTCTCCTTCAAACTGCCAGCCATGATATAGGCATTCCAATCTTCCGTCCACCAACTGACCTTCGGACAATTTTGCTAATCTGCAAACAGTCATGTCAAATGTGGCATCATAATAAATTTAACCTCATCAATTTGCAATTCGAGAGTTTTGCTATAGATAAAATGCCCAATGATGTCCTGATTATATGAAGAATATTGTCATACTAAATAAACAGCAATTAAATCTCTAGGGCAATACAATGCAAAAAGATCTTTCTAGTTATAAGCATGTGTTTTGGGAACGTGCATACACCTTGCACATGCATAGGCATAATGAGTGATCAATTTGAATATCCATTATGGGGTACCTCTTAACCTATGCCAATATGTACCATCATGGGAGGAGAAAAAGATATCCTAAACCTGTAAAAAGTTATAAGGAAGCTGCTTCATTCATCCAGTCATACTGTAGGACTTTGTTGCTCTCTTTTTTTATGGGTAAGTACTTTGTTGCTCTCTTCCTATTCAACATTGCTAAAAACCAACCGCCGGTAATTGTTGACAATTAGATGTGAGATTGGGTGGAAGGGGATTTCTTTTCATCATAGCATCTATAGTTGTGTGGATATTTGACACTTGACACTAAGGAAGTTTATGCTCATAGACCATCATTTCATATTAGACTGTATATTTACTATGTCATAAAGTAGAACGCTTTGAATTTTCAAAAGTTCCATAATCGAAACCAGACATAAAGATAGATAACCAACTAAGAATAAAAAGCGCAATGCCTGATGAGACTACTGCTTTGATCATTTCTTTATTTTATACACAGAGCATGGAAATGTATATTAGAATATACTTTAGGCAACGACAACTAGATTATTAGAGCCACTCCCCATCCCGAAGGATCCATGGGCTGACCAGTCTATGGACTTCATTAGCTGGTTGCCCAAAGTCAATGGCATGCACCAGATGAGAATGAGAGAAGCATAAAACACTCAAGGCTCCACCAAACATGAGAACAAAATTCGAGTACGGGGTTGAAGCGATCATGCTTGACATGTGTTGGGCCAACTAAAAAGAATATGAGTTGAGATTTTGGTGAAGTGGAACGCTTTGCCAGAAGAAACCAGTAAAGAAAAAGATGTGACCTTGTGGGAACACGAGGATTTGATATGACATTTCCTAATGACGTCCTCGATAGGGATATTGGGAACTCTTGGTGGGTGAGGCTTGTAAAATCCCCATTTGGGTTTGTGTGTGCTGGTTCAGGGACCAACAAATAAAGAAATGACCCACTCACTCGGTTGGATTGGTGTTACTTGGCAGCGGAGTAAATTTTCTAGACTGAAAAACCTCTGAAGGAGGACTCCAGCCTTGGACCGACCTCTGTTGGGAGGCGAGGCGAGGCAAGTGCAACACATGGCCCATGAGGCTTAGGCCTAATTGCCATGTAGCCGCAGGGATATTGAGTTGGACTATGCATTGATGGCGCCTGGGCTGGAAGGCAGCTTGATTGTAGTGATCAAGCTCAAATTCAAACAAGGTGGCAGCTAAAGAGCATGAGTGGACTGGAGAGTGGGTTTTCAACAGCGACAGGCCATTATAGTGGATACAATGTCGAGCGAGCCAGGCCGCATGAGGAAACGCTCGTCACCCATGAATTTGAAGTTCAAACCCATGCATATACAAACAAGGCTCTCAGATCATTGAGGTGCATCTGGTGTAACATCCTTGCAGTTTTATAGTGCAATACAAATGAGCTAGGCACCTTGTAATCCCTTTGTGCATATGTTGATGTAATAGGTAGGCTGAACTTGGCCCTTGAGCAGCCAGACTTAGGAGCCATGGCCTGAGGGTTGGGCTAGTGTAAGGATAGTCCCTTGAAAATTACCATATGATGAAAAATTAATTTTAAAAAAAAGAGAAAAAAAAGAAAAGAAAGAAAGCTAAAATTTGCTTCAATTAGCCAAATTATCACTAGTTCAGTAGAAAAAAATGCCCTCAAAGTTGGACAAAAATTTTTCTTTCAATATAGCAAATGAAATACTAAATAAAAGGAAAAAATTTCAACTAAGGTTCATCTTTTTTATATTACCTGTGAGGGCATCTATCCTCATGGCATCGGAGAATTCCATTTCCATCCCTATATAGAACAAGCTGATGATCAAAAACTGTCAATCCCAGAGGGGCATCGTCAGGAACGTCTTTTGATAGGTACAATGGGTACCACTCCTCTTTCCAATTGTACTCTGCAACCTCTTCTTCTTCCACTTTGTCATCCAACAAAACAGCCCCATTTTCTCTCTCTTCCTTTCTCTCTCCAGAAACTCCATGCCCAACATCAGCTACTGCGTAGCATATGTGGTCTTTTGAGAACGGTGGTTTGATTATTGAAGATGCAGTGAAACCAGGTTTTACAAGATGGTTTTGTGTTGTTTGGGGAGGAGAGAGAGGAGTTGTGTTCAGTTGGGGAGGAGAGAGAAAGATAGTGGTTTTTAGAGAGAGGTGAGTCGTTAATGGGGAGAAAGAGGCCATTGGTCCAAACTCGAACGCGGAGAGACTAGTTGCAGGAAGTACGGGGCCATTAATGCGAGGTGTATAGAAAGAGCTTGGTTGGTGGGTCACCGTGAGAGAAAATGTGGAGAGTTCACGACCACAAATGTTAAGAGTAGAGGTTCCTTGACATTAGGAAGTCGGGAAATAATAAAATATCGGCAGGTAATAAATAGGATTATTTTAAAAATTAGATTAAAAAATAGGTCAAAATATGAATTGCGAAAAGATAAAAATAATAGAAAATAGTGAATATTTCATATTTGATTAAAAAAACAACAAAGACGACAAAATATAAAATTATGATTTACAGTTATTGTATAGATATATTAAAATCATAAATCATTAAATAATAATTATAGAACCTCAATGTCATTATAGTAATACTTGACAATTTGTTGTTGAAATTTTCAATAAATCCAATAACAATGCTTACTCTATTGTTACAGCACAAAACATATCGTAGATTTATTGAGAGCATAAAATAAAACAACAATCACAATACTAAACACAAAAACTAATTAGGAAATAACAAGAACTATAAACCTTTCTATACAATTATTTTTCAAAGAAAAAAATAATAAGTTCCCTCAATATAAAATTGCAGTTAATTAAAAATAAACGTAAAGACCCAAATATGTAAAATAGTGGTCTATCTAAAATGCTATGTTGTAAATAGCCAATGAAATAAAAAATAAAAATTTAAAAATAAAATTAATCAAACTTTTCTATTCATAAAAAATATAAAAAAAATGTTTAAGCAAATTCGAATCTCACATTGAATTCCTAGCTACCTAAATCTTTAGTACCATTGAATTTCTCTCTTGCACTTTATAAATATGCTATGAGTCGCGTGACACAGCTAAAAAAGTCTTTCCTAGGCCTAGTGAATTATTAATGTAGCTTTCTTACTTTATGCGAAGAAGGCAACTCTACTAAGGGACTTTCTTAAAAAGAACAAGGATTGGGTGTTTAAAGAAAAAAAAAAAATTTTATTGATACATTTTTTCTAATTCTACTTATTAATTTGAGATATACGATTGTTATGATTATTACTATGGAAATTTTATTAAATCAATATTTTTAATTTACTGTCTTAATATAAATATTGTTATAAAGGTTATTTTTCGAATATCTTTTAAAAAACTTGAGGTTTTTAACCGAGTTCAAAAATCAAATATTTTTTTAAAAAATCATGATTTAAATGGAGACTTGCTAACGATACACTTCACGAGCTCGGTTAGTGGGTCGAAGTACATGCACAGTAAGCTCCCGAGAAACGCAATTTTTTTTATTTTATTCTTTGTTTGCCCGCCCGCACCAGTCCGGCGGAATATTACCCCGTGAAAAACTCAAAAGACTCTTATTCATAGGTATTATTAAGAGAAATTCGATCCTATATTACGCGGATGTGACCTAAGCCTCCGTACCTATCCCAAAACTATAAAATTATATGTAAGGTCATAGTTATCAAGATTTCATTGGACCATGCTTTGTCTAACCGATTGATTGATGTCTTGACCGGTCTGATTTAAAGCAAAATTTAGTTTTGTTAAAATAAGTGTTTGGCTGATTTTTGCCAATAAGTTTGTCTGATTTTGATCAATTTGAGTGATTGCACCACAATACTATTTTCTAATATAATCATATAAGAAACAAAAAATTTTCAACTGTGCTTCATCTTTTGTTGATTGATCAGACTCATCCCTAGTTCGATGGCCAACTCTAATACATATGCTTGATATTAAATGTATATTGACCAGATTTTCTTAACAGTTATAAGACTTAGAATTCTAAATCTTTTAGAAATGAGGTAATCATTAGTGAATATCAATCGGTCGAAAAAGAAAAAATCCTCCCAAATGGGTCTTCGATAGAGGGAGCAAGAGCCTAATAAGCTACTATGATGGTTTTCAAGATCGGACTGGATCAACTAACTGACCAGTTGAAACACTGAACAGTACTCTAGTCAATTTGATTCAAATAAAACATTGGGTTCGGTTGAAACTCAATTAATATTGATGTTTGAGTTGTTTTGGTCGACCAGACCAATCGGTTTTAACTGATTCAACTGATTATATAAAATTGAAAAATTATTTTTTAATATATTTGCTACTTTTAAATGATTTTTTTATTTTATATCTTTTTTAATTTTGAAAAATGGTTTGATAGGGCGGCAGCCCTATCAAAACAAGTAAACCTTACCTCGTTAACTTATCAAAAATTACAATTCAAGTGTTGAAAACTTACAGTCATCTCAGCTTGAACATTATGATTGTGCAAAAAAAAATAGAAATTCTATTACTAAAAATGACACATATTGCAAAAAATTATCTAAACCATTCATTTTCACCTAAAAAGAAGTATTTATAGTTGTGCAAAATCTAATATCATTTTTTAAGTTTCAAATTTTATTGGAGCTATCATAAAAAGTTCTCACGCCGAAAGTTCTTTTTTTTATGAGGATTTGAGGTGAGGCATTATTTTGTTTTCATAAAGCCGCCCCTGAAAATATCATTATTTAATTTTAGCCGAACAAATATAATCCACAATGCTGTTGATTTTGACTAGACCCTCACCATTTCCAAAGCCATTCCTTTGTCGGTAAGATAAAATTATTGGTTCGATCTAGATAGAAAAAAATGGCGTTTAAAAAAGGGTACGGTTTGTATAGAGCCTAAGCTCTAAACAATTACATTAGAGCCTACCTTCAAATAGTATCAAAAAATATGGTTTCAATATGAAAATCTTTTTGATAGCTTTAAAATATATTTTCATTTGTATTTATAAAGTGTAAAGCTTCAAAAATAATGTAAATAGAGAGATCTATAAAAACTTGAAAATCTTGAAATTCGACAGTATAAAAGTGCGTTACAAAATACTTTATTTTCAAAACTTGAAATCCATTTTTTTTATCATGTCCATGCATCTTGATATCGAGATGATCATTTTGAGGATATTTAACAATCAAAAAAACTTTTTCTAATGAAATTTTTGAGGTAGGCTCAAATTTGATTGTTTAGAACCTGGTTCTATACAAACTTTTCCCTTTTTTTGAAAGGAAAAGTTTATATAAAGCCATGCTCTAAAGAATCAAATTGGAGCCTACCTCAAAAAATTCACTAGAAGATATTGTTTTGATGCCCAAATATCCTCAAATTCATCATCTCGATATCAAGATGCATGGACATGATAAAAAAATGGATTTCAAGTTTTGGAAATAGTGTATTTGATAACACATTTTTTTACCATCAAATTTCAATATTTTCAAGTTTTCATAGATCTGTCGATCTACACAATTTTTGAAGTTTTGAACTTCATAAATAAAGATGAAAATATATTTTAAGGCCATCACTAAGATTTCCAGTATTAAAACCACATTTCTCGATACTATTTGAAGGTAGGTTCTAATTTGATTGTTTGGAGCTTAGGCTCTATACAAACTGTACCTTTAAAAAAAAAGGTGCAAGTTACCACCCCGATGCTTCGTAGGTGTAGAGGCAAGGTGCACCTTCAAATTTTATCACGGTATATAATTTTGTTGTAAAATGTTCTTAAGATTATCTCAAAATTTATTTTTATATCTAATTATAAAATTTTAAATTTTAAAAATGGTTAAAATCAAGTAGATCTATAAACATATGAAAATCTTAAAGTGGACGGTGTAGATAATATGTTGTAAAATGCACTATTTTTTAGACTTAAAATCTTTTAATTTTTCATGATCATACATCTCGACATCAAGATGATCAATCAAAGGGTTTTTCAACATTAAAACTAGTTTTTCCGATGGATTTTTGAAGTGCATCCGTAGTTTTACATATAAGGTTACAACCATATATAGACTTTTCCCTTAAAAAAATAGAAATGATATAATACGATGGTTATATCATATTATAATGCAACTACATTTCTAAAAAATCATGTTTGTGGTATCTGTACGACCCAAAATTTTGCACACAAGCTTTCTTCATCTCAATAATCAATATCAAAAAAGTAAAAGTTAAATTTGAACGGTAGCTATTGCCAGAATGAGTCACCTCAAACTACAAATCGAGACCATTCATTTGGTGAATTTCAATATCTTAACCTTTACAAACTCAAAATCATTTTTAAATTTTTTAACATTGTTCATCTAATGATAATATAGTAATCTCAAAAATTTGGAAAAGAAAAAATCCTTCTAAGGCCTAGGTCTAATCATCTTATCAAAATGGACGGTCTATGTTAATTGGGCTAAAAAATACATTTTATCTGGTTTTTCATTTATTTTTATTTTTTTTGTAATTGTTCACTAGAAAGAAAAGAGTGTATCTTTTTAAATTTGGATCAAACAAATGGCTCTAATATTCTAATATTGTTTTTGAAGATTACTGCATTATATTACAAGACAACCGTTGCATGAAATCACTGCCCTTAAAAAAATGAATAAGTGACTCGGATCAGTCACACCTATACCTGTATTAGATCAGGAGAATCGGTGGATTGGATTGAAAGAATTGCCATAATCGATAAATTTTTTTCCAAATTTTTTTAAAAAATAATTTAAAAAAAAATGCTCATCTTTTTTTCGCTTGACTTAATAAAGAATCGTTCGGAATCGATGAAGAATCGGTCAGCCTGAGTGAAAAATCGATGGTTCCTTGAAAAAATCGATGAGTTTACTATTCTGAATCGACTGAATCTCAATTTTTTACAAGAATCGATCAGCCATGGCGATTTTCTATCCAAATCGTCCGATTCGATATCAGATTACCGATTTTTAAATCACTCGAAAAAAACATATATTGTAAGATACTTAAAGACCTTTAATGATATTTTCTACATCATACACATTATTTGTTCACTAAAATTAAAAAAAGTGGACAAGGTTGAGAGGATACGGTAAATAGAGCGCAAATCATGAGAGAAAGGTGGGGAAGCGTAAACCGCACGCACATTCTTCATTTATGTGATAAAACGGGAAAAGGAGGGAGAGCTCCAAGTCAATAATATTATACACAAGTAAGTATTCATCTATTTCTGACCAATAAATGGAAAAACGACAATCAATTTTTAGGTGTGTGCTTTCACAAACAACATGAGTTTAATGGCTTTAGGTGGAGGCCGGTGAGAACT